CAAGAAAGAGAGTTTCTGTCGTCAGGGATTTCTTTGGGTTTAATCATTCATTTGTTTGTTTTGTTCTACGTGGAAAGCCAGCTAGCATCTCTGTTTCTGTCCTTTAAATAAAGTATCCTGCTTGCTGGGGGATTGATGTTTCAAATTATTTGTTTAAAAAATACTGGTTACTCTGTAAGAAAAGCTTCTTTTTCTTTGGCCATTTCATACAGGAAAAGTTTAATGAGGTAGATGGTAGAAACTCCTTTATAAGAAATGGAGGTTTTTGGTTAGGCTTTACGGCTTTATGGTCGCCTCATGATTATGCCAGGTGGGATCTTAACGCAGAACCGAGCGAAAAGCAAGACCCTTTCGTGACTTGGATCAGTGATTGGAATGTTGGACTCAAGACTGAGTTCTGTGTGTGTACATGTTGACTTATTAGACCCATTGACATCTGATAATTTATTTCATATTTATGTGACAGATTTGAACTGAGAGTAAAAAAATCCCCTAATACGTATCTATAGTGCTTTGTGGTTTTACAGGCATTAGCTCTTTCTGGTTTTCACAGTTATCCTCTGTAATAGGTAGAAGTTTAAGAAAGAAAAAATTACTCCAGACATGTCCACATGGAGGTGTATTTTGAGAGGTATGTTTTGTCTGTTTTGGTGGGTAAATGGGCTTTCTCCTTAGACACAGTGTCTTTCCTGTGGTCCTGGGGCAGCCCTCAGCCTTTCGGGCCCAGTAACTAGGTTTTTCACTGCACTGAGCATCTCTCTGTCTCACTGTCTCACTGTGAAATTCACACCAGTCAGCCACGTTCTGCCTGACTAACCCGTTCTCTTTTCATAGGCCTGCGGTTCTTACTTTAAGGTTAAAACCCCTTTTGAGAGTCTGATGAAGCTGGAGGCTCCCACTCTCAGAAATGTACTAACTCACATGGTGGATTTGAAAAGCCAAAGTAGAATCAGGAAGTCGAATCTGATACTTCACACTAAGTTTCAAATCTCCCGGGAGCCGAGGTGCCCAAAGTCCGTGTGGCCAGAACATTCTCTCCTGTAGTTTGTCCTTGTGGACGTGAGCAGCCCTCAGTGGGTGGCACAGCCTGCACAGACCCAAGGCTGCGTCAGCCAGAATGTCTAGCCTTTGGCTTCTCAACAACAATCGCTGAGACCAAGTCATTTCCCCGTTGGGTAGCTTTACACTGGCTGTGGAACACTTGAATTCTCGGCCAGTGAGTGGCTTCTGTGGCGACCCATCTGTCCACATTTCCTGTTTCCCATTCTTCTTGGAGGGCATGCCTCTGCTGGATTTGATAACATGGTCACCAAAGTCACAGCCAAGGCTGGATGGCTCAGGAGCCTGTGACATTTCTCTGCCCTTCATGTTATGGATTGATATAAAATTTTTATTCTCAGAGGGAAAGCCTTTTTCCATTATTTTCAGATTCTTGGAAATGGCTTCCCAGTAGTCATCATCCCCATTTCAGAAGGAGGAAGTTCTGGTTTGGAGAGAAGCTGGCAGCTCACATTGATAGCATAGGGCACAGCTGAGCCCCAAACCAAATTCTGAGACATTTAAGAGACAGCCCCAGACTACCTTTTGTCTTGTGAATTATCTAAGAGAAGAAGATTCTCAGGTTTGGGTAGAGGAACATTGTCAATGTCAGACATGAACAGTTTGAACAGGCATTGTCTTCATTCAGTAAAGGTTACCGACTACGTGGATCTGATGAAGCGCTCCATAGCTTGCATGTAATTTCAAAGATACTGATTTAATAATAAATATATAGATAATTCCTTAAAAGACCAGAGGTCGTAAATTTCATGTTAAATAATAGGATTGTTACCGAGAATGATGGTGATGCTATAAATTGAGCACAGCTACATGTCCAAGGTTCTTAATATGCTCTGATCTCAAACTTCTTTTTCTAATTTCCCATGCTCTCTTATCTTAGAAAACAAGATTAGAATTCATGCAACTCCACCGTTGGTAGGTAAATGGGTTTTCTTGGCCTGACCATGCTTGTCAGTTACTCTAGGTACATAAAGGATTTTTCATGTTAAACTTGATAGTATTGTTTGTGGTACATTTGAACTTGTGATAGAAAATTTATGAAACAGGGTGCGTATTTAACCTTAACACAGAAAGATGGTTGAGGTCAATGGGATGGAGTTCTCTCCCGTCAGGAACACATTAACATTAGTGGGTCTGTTCACAACTTGACCTTTCCTCCTTGTGATGTGTGTTCAGCTTTTCCTTGTTAGTAATGTACAGGTGAACCTCAGTGTTTTGAATTACTGCAGGGTATGTCATAAAATGGTTACTTAGCTAATCCTGTGTTCATAAAAACAAGTGCTATTACAGTGAATATGCTTAACTAGGTATCTTTGGGCTTATGGGTGGGGTTTTGTGTAGGATCGGCCCCTAAAGGTAAGATAACAGGCATTTTCAGTTTTACTAAATGATGCTGGGTTGTCCTCTATATTGATAAATAGCACTGCATTCAGAAGTTTTAATGTCATTGTTAGCTCAAAATTATTTTATATGGACTATACAGGTGCAGCTTGATAATACGAACTAGGATTTTAGCTGTAAATGAAGACATACATGAGTGCAAGACAAGGGCCAAGTAACATCCCTGCAAGGTTAAATTTGAATTGAAAAGTCCTTTGAAATTCAAGTGTTTTTTTTGTTTTCCTTTCCACATACTTGTTTATCAGTTCCAGCTCTAGAAAAGCCCAGAAACAACAGCAGCGCACTGCTCTGGGCACTGGTACCACCTCTGCCTCACCTCTGCCTCTGGGTGTGGGCTGGGGCTGCGTGGGGCGAGCCTGGGACCTGTGGTCTGTTGACTCAGAAAGCAGAGGAGCCCTCCGCAAGTCGGGTGGTCACCACAGCTAACAAAGGCAGAGGCCAAAGGAAGGGCTTCTTCCCACTGATGAAATGGGGGCCGATTTGAGCACCTAAAGAGTACGGTTACAGGTGATTAACATACTCCGAATATATTCAAACCCTTGTGGTAGGCAGCATGACCTCCCCCCAAAATATCCACGTCCTAATCCCCAGAACCTGTATTTATGTTACATGGTAAGAGGGTATTAAGGTTGCAGATGGAATTACAGCAGGGAAGGTGTGCTCACTTTAAGATAAAGAGATGACCCTGGGATATCTGGGTGGGCCCAGGGGAATGGCGAGGATGGCTGGGCAGTCGTTGCCAGAGCAGTGCAGCATAAGGGGTTGACCGGCCACTGCTGGCTTTGGCTGTAGAATGGGGTCGTGGGCCAAGGCATGTGGGCAGCTTCTGGGAGCTGAAAGGTAAGGTGATGGGTTCTCCCCTCGTGCCTCCACTAGGAACGCAGTGCTGTGGACCCTGTGATCTTAGTTGAGCAACACCTTTTGTAGACTTCCTATCTCCGTATCTGTAAGATAAAACATTTCTGTTGTTTTAAGCCACCAAGTTTGCAGTGATTTGCTACAGCAGCAATAGGAAACTAATATACCCATGCTATCCAAAAAAGAGATTCTCCAAACAAAACAGAAGAAAGCAAAACACCTCACTGATCACCATAGGCAGTAAAAATAGGACATCAACTCTGTCTCTGAAAAGCAGCATTCAAAGGGGTAAAGAATTAAACATTTGTCTTGCCTATCCTGTAAGAATTACCTTGTAGGGTAACAAAGTCATAAGAATTACATTGTAGGGAAACAAGCTTAAGGCAGGAGGGGGGGCGTGGAGTGCAGAATTCTTTTTTATAGAAGAATTGTAGAAAATGACTGTAGAAGGAATGATGGACTTAGAAGTCGCCGTTCTGCAACTCTTAATGAAAGTACTGGGTTAGGCAGAGACCATCAGTCACTGTAGGAAACCACGAAATGAAATGTTCACGGGGGAATTTTAGAAGAAGAGATTGGACTGTTACGACTGTTACCTACTGAATTTTCCAAGTAATTTTCACATCACCAAGAAGAAATAACTTAGGTGAGTCAGTGTTAAGTGCCAGGACCATCCAGTGTGCACGCCTGCCCCCAGAAGGGGGCTTGAATATAATCAAGTCTCTAGCGGGAGCTTTCAGCTTACAGCAAATACGGAGCCAGAGGAACAAGTCGAATGACCTTAGGAGGAAGCAAACAGAGACCCAGAAAGGGAACCATCTGTGGGAATGCTGTCTTGGCTTCCCGGTCAGTCACTGGTGTGAAGCTAAAACGTGGGTGCCCGCCTGGGAAGAGGGTGTTCTGATTTAATAGAAAACAACAATCAGATTGACGTTGATTAGATCCTGATTCCAAACACATCTCTGAGCGCATCATGGGAATGTGAACAGGAACTGGGTATTCAATCTTCAGGAATTGTTACTCCTTCCTGGGTGGGGTGGGTTAATGGGCTGTGTTTATATAAGGAAAACATCCATAATTTTGAGAAATGTAAACTGAAATAGTAAGGGTAAAATGGTGTGAGTCTGAAATTTGTTTTAAAATGCTTTTAGAAATGGAGGAAAAGGTGGGGGGGGGACTAAAATCTTGATAACTGTTAGTGAGGTATTGACTGACAGTTATGGGGGTTCACTATGCTTTTTTGCATGTTTCTTGGGTACATTCTTGCAGGGCTGATGAAAATTAATTGTCTCAATGTCATGCATAAGAGCCCTGGTGACTTAGGATATAAAGTCTTAGGATAGCATTGCACACAGATGCAAAAACGTACTGCATCTTGAGATGGACATGAGCTGCTCACTACAGCTGTACACTACGCCCCGAGTTCCTGGCCACCCCAACCAGCCGCATGCCTCTCAGCCCCCTCCCTCCCTAATCCGTATCCCCTCACCCTCTCCTCACCAGCCCCAAGGGACCTGCGCTGTAGCCCCACCCTCATCTCAGAATCTTCTCGGCATTGGTCCCACCCTAAAGAAGACAGAAGTGAAATCAGCGCTGAGTGTAAAGGGGGGACAGAGCAAGGGACCACCTCACCCCAGAATTGCTCACCTGTGAAAACCAGGGGTACTTCACTGTGTCTTCAGGAGCGTCTCACCCCAACGAAGGAGACGCAGCTCCGACTGGATGCGACAGACAGTGACTGTGATGGCACACCCGGCGGAGGGAAACAAACATGCCAGGGCTGGAGGCCAGTCCCCCAGGGAGATGAAGCCACCAGAGCAGGAGCATCCTTGCCTGCAAAACAAAACTAGCTGTAAAAAACTGAGGTAAATATGAATGTGTCCTTTTGTTTGAGGAGATTCTAAGCCTGAGACAGCTTAGAAACCTCACATATATATCATTTGTCATTAAAGTGTCATATATCAAATATATACGATAAACACCTGCAAAAAAAAAAAAAACATACTGCATCTTAAGTAACTTAGACCAGAGGAAGGATGACATGCTTTTTGAAAACTGCTTTGATGACTCAAAAAGAGGCTTCATGTCACTGATTGCAGCGATGTGAGTAGGGTTTTAGTAAATTCATTTGCAGCCAGAGAGTCCTGACTAATCCAAGCCATGTGGACAAATTTTCTATCTCTTGACCTGAAAACTTCTCAAAGAAATGTGAGGGGGAAAAATAATGCAAGAAGGGTGTCCAAGAGAGAAAGCATAATAAGAAATGAAACTTGAGAAAACTATCCATTTACTTCCTGAGTATAAAAGACTTCACTGAACCTCATGAATATCTAGCAAGTCATAGCTCTGATGTTTAAATTTAGCAGGAAACAAATAATAACTCCATGCTATTTAAAATGATGTGCCCTCTAAGCTTACTTTCCGTGCAGAATGAAACTATGCAATGTAAGTCTGTCTTACTTTAACAGCTGTTTTTCAATTACTTGA